ACGTCATCTTTCGGCATCGTAGTATAGGCTAGATAGGATCTGCCATCTGTAGTCTGGGCGCCGAGCGCCAGATAGGATATCAACTCTGGTTCTTCGTTGATGATGATGGGACTATTTCAGCATTGTCAATAATGAACTCTTGGTGTGTTCTTATTTGGTGAATCTCGTGATGCAATTTTGCTGTTGGTTTGAGGTCACGACCATCTGGACTCGTGTGCATGATGCTGTTTGATTGCTGAAGTTCGCTATTGCTCATCTTCCTTGCAGAAACTTCAGACGACAGCAAAATTGCACAAGTACATCATCTTCGAGATGGGCTCACATGTCAGCAAGAAGGCCGGTCGAGGGGTAAGAACAACCACAGCCCAAGTCTCACTGCTTGGGGAGACGGGGAAGAGGCACTGATCATTTTCATAGCCAGACCGGTGGTGTACCTTGTACGCTATCTATTTCTATGTTTTATGTCATGGATGCAAAGCCGGAGCAACACCCTAAAGAAATGTATCCAGTTGAATTCTTCACACCACATCAAAGAGATTATGAGATGGATTCATTTAGCTGATCCATTTCTCTATTCCCAGCTACACTGACACATTATTGACTCCAGTTATTTCTTTCCAGTACTTTACACTAGTTAGGTTTCCAGGCACACATCCACGCAGCCACGTTTCCATTTCTCTATTCCCAGCCACACAGACACATTACTGACTCCATTTCTTTGTTTCCAGTACTTTACATTAGTTAGGTTTCCAGCCACACATCCACGCAGCGACGTTACTGGTTGAAACTTATGTTACCGTTATCTTAAACAAAACAGGAAAGGGTGATGTCCAGAACTGTCCTTCCCCGGGTAATTTAGTTGTTTTATTTACCCGACTCTCGCAGAATTTGAACTCGAGTCTGTTTAACAACGGTTAGCTATGTACCAGTCAGCCACGTGGGCTGGCTAGGAAAAGGGATTACAGAAACACATAAGAACGGAGGACCCGTCTCTGACCACAACCCACAAGTGCGAGGCCACAGCCCGCCCTGAGCATCCTGGGCCTTTCAGCAAGGATGGCCGCCCTGAAGGCGGCACATAAGGCCTATTTTGTCCTTTTTTGCGAAGTCGGGCTCAAACAGTTATGCTGCGTCAGTTGGTTGGATGGACCCAGGCCATGGGCAACAGTATCCGGTCAAGGGATTCTAGGTCGTTCCTATGTTTCTGGGCACAGGCCCTGGGCCAGACACGACGCACAAACTGCACACAGCACGCACGACAGTTAGACACGTGTAACCACCAGGGGCCCTGAGGAGTACTCTGGCCTCAGCCCTTGGGGCCTACCGGAAGCCTCTGGGCAGGGGCCCAGCGCAGCCAGGCAGCACGCACCAGGCAGGCCACATCCATAAAGATAAGTGCCTGCCTCCACATTTGGCATTCGGGCACTCGCTGCTTATGCGCAAGCGCTGCTGCGCCAGCTGCTGAAGCGAGTGCCTACGCGCTCTCGGGCAAGCAGGAAAGAAGCAGGCAGCCATAGCCGAGCTGGCCTGCGCATTGCTGGAAGTGGCGCATGGTGGTCCTTGGGTGCATGTGGCATCTGTGTGGAGGATCGAGGTTGTGAGTGAAGCGAGGGACATACCTGGTGCTTGACGCGAAAGGCATTGGCCGAGATCTGCTCGTACTTTGGGAAGCTGTCGACGTCACCAGCGACATTGTAGATAGCCTACATAGGATCTACCATTCGTAGTCTCAGCGCTGAGCTCCAGATACGGATTCAAAATTGGTTCATTGTTGATGATGATGAAACTATTCCAACATTGTCACTTGTGAGCTTTTGCTGTGCTCTTATTTGGTGAAACTCAAGTTGAAATTCCGCTTTTGGTTCGAGGTCAAGACTATCTGGTTTCATGTGTACAAGGGTACCTGTTACGGCTTCGCTCGCAAGGGATCGAGGGGAAAATGGGAGAAATCAGTCGGGGTGTTGGGTTCGGGGGGGTTGGGGTGGTGGTCGGGGATGTTTTTAGACTCATGGTCCCGTGGGGGGTTGTGCCCTAACAGCTGTGGCAATGTGTGTGCAGCGCCTGCTGCTAGTTGGGGAGGTTCTGCAACAGCTGGCTTTGGAAATCGGCATGCTATATCTACCCGTACTGTTTTCCCCCGATTCTAGACTGAAATCCAGCGGTGTACCTCGGTTGATATGGCACGCAAGTGGCATTCATGAGGTCTTGGGTTCAATCCCTATTGGCCTCATGTACCTTCCTGGGCAGGCTTGGCGCCAGGCACATAGAGAAAGACCCGAGGGGAGGCACGTCCTTTTTTCCCCGAGCTGTGGACGTGTGGCGGAGGAGCGGGGAGAGTGAAGAAGCAGGGGAAGAGGGTGGAGGAGGGCGGCAGGAGCAGAGAAGTCGTGGGGGATGAGTCGGGTAGTCAGTTTGGGGTCTCTCTCTCTCTCTCTCTCTCTCTCTCTCTCTCTCTCTCTCTCTCTCTCTGCTTTGCGCTGTTTTCCGTGTTTTTTTTTTTTTTTTGTTAATAAAGATCTTCGGATGGTCCACGGCTCAGATATCAAACTCATCGAAACAGGTACTACACTTGATCGTCATCGTCGTCGTCGTTTTGGAAAGCGAGATAGTTATTTAGTTTGTGCTCTCTCTCTCTCTCTCTCTCTCTCTCTCTCTCTCTCTTTGGTGGGCGCACACATGCGAGCGCCGTTTTTCACACGGATCACAATAGTGAAATCAAACTCGTCTTCTTCCCACTTTGTCATGTCTGCAAACAGCGGTACAGCAACTGGCGACATGCGCCCACACAGTACTCAAGATATCGTAACCAGATATGAGTTCTCTTCAACTGGCTATGGCGACTAGGCGCCCACACAACTCACTGTTCGCACTCTGGATCACCCTGGGTGTCCCACACGCAACACTCAGTATCATACACAACACACACACATACTATGCTACAGCTATGGCAGCACTAGCTGCCTCTACCCTATCGCTACACTACACTTCTCTGCCCACTTCGTCTTCGGGCGCACTGCAGACCGCCTCGCACAAGCTGCAAAGGCAGCGCTTCCGCCTGGCATCCGCAGGAATCCCTCATGAATGGACGCAGCCTCTTGATTGGGAGTGCGGCAGGTGGACAGATGCACACTGTTATTATATGCACTAGCTACCTTAGGTAACATCTCATCCCAGTTAATCTGATCTGGCCAAATGTACATGCGCAGAACTTGCTGTAGGATTTTGTTCATTTGCTATGTCTGACCGTTAGTCTCTGGATGGCGGTCAGACGACATCAACAACTTAGATCCGTATACTCCCATGAGTTCTTGCCAGTTCTGACTGGTAAAGCGACTATCTCTATCGCTAACTATAGACAGCGGGATTCCATTCTCACTAACCCAACAGTCAAAGAACCTCTGTATGACTAAATCAGTACGCGCCTCAGAAGGCAAAGGAATAAAAACTGCGTACTTGCTAAAGCGGTCAACTATGACCATGACTTGGCTCTTACCATGCCTGCTTTTGACTTGAGTGTCCATGAAATCTATTGACACTGAGTCTCCCGGCTGATCCGGAATGGGCAAGGGTCTGAGAAGACCTAACGGGGCACGCGTAGAAGACTTGTTACGCTGGCAGACCTTACAACTGCGAACATACTCTACGCAGTCATTCTTCATCCCTGGCCTAACGGGGCACGCGTAGAAGACTTGTTACGCTGGCAGACCTTACAACTGCGAACATACTCTACGCAGTCATTCTTCATCCCTCGCCAGGTATACGCGCGCATCAGATTGGCTAAGGTCTTTTGCCAACCAAAATGACCCTCTGTGTCGTGGCATTCTCCCAAGATCAGACTACGGATCTTTTCGCTATTGGGGATGCA